GCTTTTATTCAGTATTCCTCTATCCAACACCTGTGATTCTTTGTGTTATTTCCAATGCATAAACAGCCCAAGTCAACTTCTTCCATGCAAGGAATTACTGCACCAGTGAGCTGTCATATAGACCTTGTCATATAAACATTCACTCATCCATGTCTAAGTCCAACTATCAGAGGTGGTCAAATGTCCAGGTATTTGTGTAAAATGGAAGACAATGCAGCCCTTCTCAAGGAGCAGTCCTTTCTCATACTGATGTCCCGTTTGTAGTGTCGAACAAATGTTGATGGTGTCAACCATGTTCCTGCTCTGCAAAGATCCTCTGCAAACAGAGAGGCCTGCATGGAAGGCTGTAAATGTGGAAACTGCTCTTGTAGAATTTGCTTTTGGCTCATCTGGCAAGTCCAAGAACTAACGTTTGTATGCTAACTTGGCTAGCAGTGTGCCAAGTGTTGTGGGCCGAATGGATCTCTCCTTTGGAATGGTCCGCATACTTGACAAAAAGTTGTTTTGTCTTACAAATGATCTCAGTTTGGGATTGACAGAATACTAATGCATGACAGATGTCAAGGGTATGCAGCGCTCTTTCAATGTCTGTAGAAGGTGATGGGTAAAAGTCTGGAAGAACAATCTCTTAGTTGATATGAAAGGATGAAGAAACTTTAGGTAAGAATGAAGGGTTGGTACAGAGGACCACTTTCTATCTGTGAAAAGTTAAATGGGAAGGTCTACTCTCAGTGTGAAAAGTTTGCTTGCTCGGCAGACTGAGGTGATGGCGATGAGGCAATGAGGAAAACTGGTATTTCCAGGATACCAGTTGTAAATCTATGGTTATGAGTGGTTTGAATGGTGGGTTTGTTAATGCATGTAGCACAAAGGAGAGACTCCAGGCAGAAACCATAAGTTGGACTGGAGAGTGTAGATTCTTTAGTCAATTCATAAACCATCATGATAACGGATGAGAGAAGGTGGAGTACCCCTCAATGGGGCCAGGAAAAGCAGAGACTGCTGATAAGTATACATTTATGGAGGTTGGCTTCAGTCCCAATAAGTAGAGGGGGTTTAAGAATTCCAAAATCCTCTGGGCAGAGGCAGAGGATGGGTCAAAGGATTGGAGTGTCACATATTTTCCAAACTTTGCCCACTTGGTAGCATAAGACTGCCTGGAATTGGGTCAAAGGGCTGCTGATAAAATATCCTTGAACCTGTTGCCCTTGTGATAAGGTAGTCTTACTCAACTCCTATGATTGAAGCATAGAAACATAGTGAGTCAGAAGGGGTCTCCCGGGCCATCTAGTCTGACCCCTGATTCCAGCCAGGAGATGGTATATTTGAAGTGCCCATTACAGAATTTGCCATGTTGTGAGAAGGAATGTCTGCATATCAGATGGAGAATCTTTCCTTGAGCCTGGATAAACTAGTCCAGTATTAGTGGTAGTTATTTCTAAGTCCCATTGGACAGCTTCAAGATGAAAGGGAACCAAGGCAGTCTTGGCCACATTGGCATGATCAGAATAGCCCATGTTGGTTGTCCTCCTCTCTGTTATCATTAGAGAAGTCTCATATGCTTGTTGCATCTGCTGAGAGACAATGGGCTTTTCTCAAGGAGGGGCGGCCCAGCTTCTGCTTCCAGATGCATTGTGGAATTAAGGTCATGTGGAATTAAAATCCTTTCTGCCTTCATATATGATCCACTTCATAATCACAAGGTGATGTTGCACCCCAGCAGAACTGCATGCCTGCACCGGTGCCTCATACATGGAAAGTGTGTGAGAGGCCTGGAGGAGGAGGAGGACATACTTCAGAGCTTCCACAGGCCAACAGGAGTGCGGAATCTCGAGAGCACAGTGAACACTGCACTAAGAAACACTCACTGAGTAAGCCCAGAAATGTGACGGAAGCAACCCCATTGCCCCCTTCTTTCCCTGGGCTACCAATGGGCAGACTCCCTTAGATGAGGCGGCATCTTCCCCATGAAGGCCTCCCGCCTGCTTCTCAGTCTTTCTGCACCTATACCATTCTCTCTCCCCACTCCATTTTGTCCTTAGGTGGTTCCCAGATATACAACCATGTCTAATCTTCCCAATAAATTGGCAAACTCTTTTGCTCTGAGATTACACCAATGTTTGAAAAGAAAGGAAGTTGCCATAGCCTAATGTAAGACATTTTAAAAGGACTCTAAAAATGGATGTAATTCATAACACTTAATCCAGGAGGTTTGACTTAACCAACCACCAGCTCATTCTGAACTAAAAACCTGAGGGAGGAAATAGGATGAACAGTCAGGTTGACATCCAGCGTGGCAGTTTGGTGTGGGTCTTTCAGGTCATTCCGTGGGCCTCCCCTTCTGATGGGAACGCGCTTGGATTGGACTTGCTGATGAAGACAGAAAATGCAGTATGTGCCAGGACATCATTTTGTCTCACACAGTCGTCTGCCACCAGCTGACCTTGAGGAGAGGCGGGTGGGAGCCTGGGCAATCCGGGGGGGGGAATGCTGGGTGCATCAGTGCTGGCATGGGCAAGCTGGCCTTTTAGCACCCCTCCCTGCAGGAAAGGCTGGTGGGGAGCTTGCCTGTTTGGCTCTTCCGAGATGATGCACACTGGGAGGAAGGCTAGTCCCTTTGTCTGTCCAGCTGGCTCTGCACATGGAAGGAAGAGGCCACATTTCAGGGAAAGGCTCCTTGGAGGCCCTGGATTCCAAACGCCTGCTTAGCACCTTGGGCTTGGCTTCCCAGGCCTTCCAGTTACACTGCCACGTGTCATTGGTACCAACACAAAGCACGTCTGCTGACGCCACCCCAGCACCATTTACAAAGCTAGTTAGGCAGTGCTTGACACCCACAACCTCCACACCAGGAAGGCAGTTTCCTCCATGCATTCCACACACCCATCATAAACTCAGCTGGCCGGGTGTCTAATGAACAAGCCCCCAGTGCCACAAGTCCCCAAGAGCCAGACACACGCCACCTGCACGAGAGGATATTTGCTCATCCTCCAATCAATGTGTCCCTCCCAGGAGAACAGTTCCCTTTTCCTTGGAATGATGCCCTCCTCCTGTGAACCCCGTTTTTCATGGCAGCAGAGGATCTGTCGCCCAGGAACAACAGGCTTCCCAAAGCTCTCATCCACCAGCTGCTCCCCTCAATCACCCTTTCCAGCTCAGCAAACTCGGCTTCAGCCTGTTCCTCTGGAACCGGGAGTTCATTCACCAAGCACACGTGCGCCAGTTCTGTCCTCCTGGCACATAGTCCTGCATGCATCTAGGGATCTGTGTTGAATCCCCACTGACACACCCATACATCTTTGCATTTCCAAATGAGAGCAAATGCTGCAATGAATATTGAGATAAATATTAAAACAATGTTGAAAAATATATGTGCAAGAAAGATTTTTTCAGTGCTTGGCAACTCTGGCACTACCCCTGAGGTGCCACTGGAATACTTTGAAGGGGCTCTTTGTAGCTGTTGAAAAGGAATCAGCCAGAATGAAAGCTGAAAGTGGAAGAAGCCATGGTGTGAAAAAGTAGCTCACAATCTTTTGAGGGCAGGTGGGGGGTACAACAGTGCTTGCATGGTGCCCCATGGAATACCCCAAGGAGAGCTGCAGGGGCAGGAGGGAGCCAGCACTCCATGGTGCCCGACAAGTCTTTTGGGCACATCCTGTGTCCCAGATCTGATAATCCGCTATGCAAACTGATGTTGCAGTCCGCAGTGAATGGGCATGTGTGAATTGGCCCCAGTCTAGTAGCACCGAGCTACTTCCGTGGGATGTGTAACTGGCTGACATTTAATTCGTTCTGCTACTTCTTTCAAGGAATGAAATCACTTTATTCCTCTCCAAACTATTTACACATGAAATGAAAGCTGGATTATGTTGTGGATTTTCAGTTGCTACTTCTCATTGATCAATACAATGCTACAGTGTCCTTACTATATCATCAACTTCAGTAATATGACCTGCCATAATAACTTCACGTCGTTTAGAAAGCCATATTTGTTTACCAATCCGGCAATGATCAGACTCTTCTAGTTCTTCACTGCTGCCGTCATCTTCCATGTCAATTCTTCTTCTATTCACACTACAATAGTCAGATTTGGGAAAGAATCAACAGTAGACCAGGGCATGGTCATGTCTCTGCATTGTATGGCAGTGCTCATTTCAAGAACCTGACATGATACTGATATGAACAGACGGTCATTTAAGGAGAGTCCGGCAACCCATGCAGGACTCTTGCTAATCATCTGGGATTTAGTCAGCTATAAAGTACAGTCCAGGTAAGCAACCTGACCACACTGCCCTATGAAGTAGAAAGAACAGTGGAGTTGTTGGTGGAGCGGTGGGCTCTGTTTATCTCTATTAGCTCAGAATGGATTAAGATATAGGAACAGAGAGATGGTGAGGTAGTTATACAATGATGTGCAAAAGAGGTAATAGCAATTTGAAAAAATGGGATTGATAAGGAGGAGCCTGGTGAGTGATAGAGGCATAAGGAGCTGGAACAGACTGTCCCTTCTTCCCTCCCTCTGCCAATGCATTTTGGGGCATTCGGGAGGTATTCTCCTTGGAGGAAGAGGTGGGGGGAGTCAATATGTCTTAGGTTAAGGAAAGGTAGAGGTGTGGACTGTAGTCAGTCGAGAAATGCTTTTTTCTTTTTCTATATACGTAAAGGAAAATACCACCACAGAGAAACAAGTTTATTAGAACTTTGGGCTAAGTAATGAAGAGTCTATCTTGCACTTTTGTGGAGTTGTGCAAAGCCAGGAAAATGCAGCCTTGAGCTCTTATACAAAAGGTCAAGTTGCTTACCTGTTACTGTCAATCCTCGAGTAGTCATCCGTGCATTCACACATATGGCCTCTGTTGTCAGAAAGATTTCCTAGCTAGACTCCTTCTGGCAGGAACCACTCTCCTCCTGCCCCCTGGTTTATCCGGGAGGGCTTCCCACCCTTATTTATTAGTTCCCTAGAGACTGGCACTGTGGCCTCAGAACTGAGAGGAGGCCAGTGAACAGCTGACCTTGAACCCAGGAGGCTGGGCTCAAGAACACCGTGTGGCACCACAGCTGGCCAGCACGAAGGCGGGATTGGTGGGTGGTCTGTTGAATGCACGGATGTCTACTTGAAGAGCAACGGTTACGGGTAAGCAGGCTGACGATTTTCTTAATGCTTTGTGTGCATCACACATTTGGGCAACCAGCAAGCTCACCATTCAGACAGAGATGGGGAGGTATCATCAGTGGACGACTGCAGGGAAGACTGCTTTACTGAGGGAGCAGGCTTGCCTGGCACAGACATCCAGCTTGCAGTGCCCTGTGAAGGTTGATGCGGCTGCTGTGCAGAGCTCCTGTAGTGGAACACCTGCGTGAAGAGCTGTGGAAGTGGCCACCACCCTGGTGGAGTGAGCGCTAGGCTGCCTCACCTGCTCCTCCATCAATCGCATCCACCCCACAAGCACCTTCTCCTGCTCCTGCCAGCTCTCTTGGGGGCAGGAGGGGAGGGGGACCCACCAAAACAAGGCCAGCTAGGAAATGTGTATTTGTGACGCACAGATACCATGAAGAAGAACTTCTGGAGGTGGACAGGAAGTTACCTTGGAGCTGCCAAGTCCTGCTGCAAAGGCACCTGAGGCACATGCCAGGAACAAGTGTGAGGATGAAGAAGGAAGCAAAACAAGAGAAGTGACGAAGCATCCCCAGTCAGGAGTAGCACCGGTTGTTGAATGAAAGAACAACCCACCTTGGCTTATCTTCAGGGTGCCTTATTTTCATATGCAAACCCACCCAATGGCATTATCTCACAACTGGATTTTTCCCCAGGAAGAATGCCCAAAATCTGATAGTACACCCATGTTTACAGAATTCCCTGCCTCTCCACTCACCATGACCCAGTCTTTTAAAATGTCAGTCAGAGATAACTCACCGCAGAGCCTTGCCTGAATCTTTTAATGCCTCACGGAACTGTTTCCTCTTTGACTCTTCCAGTCTAGTCTCAGAGACGTGCACTTCAGTCAGAGACAGGTTAGTGGTAAGAGCAGTGCAGATGGCCTCCCAAAATGCATCTGTCACACGACACCGACTTAGACTGAAAGAGGCTGGGGCAAAATAGAAGAATCACAAGAGTTCTGCTTCCCATTCCATGCTGAGAAAGGCTTCACAACAAAACTGAGCCAGAGACCGGAGATTATCTTACATTCCAGGTTCCTATGCAATATTGTTCTTTACAGCATCAGACTTTCCTTTCACCACCAGATATATGAAAGTTTGTGGAGACAATGCATCCCTTCTTTTGGTTATGCCTGCTCCTTTTATTTAATTCAGATAAACCCTGCTCAAGCAGGGGTGGCCTTTATTTAGTATTACTCTATCCAGCACATGGGATTCCTTGCGTTATTTTCGATGCATGATCAGCATCAGTCAGTATTTTCCAAGCACAGAATTTCAGCACCAGGGATCACTTATTTGCCACTGCACCCTTAGACTGGCCTGAAGATTCACGCAGCCCTACTCATACCAACCCATGGGCAAGACCCCACAACAGTTCCTGCCATACAGAATCCAAACAACTTCCAGACTGCTTCCAGAAAAGAAGCCACTGATGTTGGAGATATGAATAGGGTTCCAACAAGGAGACAAACAGTTCAAGAGGGTTCTCAGGAATTCCATCTTTGTTGAAAAGGAAACAGAAACTCACTGTTTAAACATGCTGAAGTGAAACAGTCAAGTGATGGTTACACAAGTCAGAAGGAAAAGAAAATGTGGATGACTTACCATAGCCTCTCTACTTTACACTCTGAATGTGCGAGCCCTTGGCACAAAATCTTCATTCCGGTGCTTTCTCCTTTATGTATATCCAGTTCTAGTACCTTCAGCCTTTGGTTTTTAATGAGAACTTGGGCTAGTTCCTCATATAAAATTGTTGTGGAATTCCAACTATGTATGCTAAAGAGAAAAGCAAGAAAAGGAATGAGCCAGGGAGGAGTCAGGACTCGAGTTTCAACAAGAATACCATTCAGATTGCCTGTAGAAAACTGGACGGCTCCCTGAACTGACACTGCTTTTTATGGTTTAAGTCATACAGTGAAACATATAGATTGTAAAGGAAAACTGATTGGGCATGTCCAGCAACATATACAAGAAAAATGCACAATTCATCCCTTTTCTTTGTGATTCCATGTTATTTCTGAAATGTGTGCTTCAGTGTTGTGTTCTGAAAGCATTATTCAATCAGGGAATGACTGCAGATGTAGAAGAGGTTGAACTGGGTGCCATCAGTGTACTGATGACTCCACAGCCCAAGCCCCTGGATGACCTCTTCCAGTGCATTCATGTAGATGTTAAAGAGCATGGGGGAATAAAATGGAACCCTGTGGAACTCCATGGCAAAGCTGCCATGGCACAGAGCCACAATCCCCAGCACCACCTTCTGCAATTGGCCAACCAATTAGGAGTGGAACCACTGCAAGGCAGTGCCTCCAACCCTTACTTGGCCAGCCTATCCAGAAGGATACCATGGTTGATGGTATCGAAAGCCACTAAGAGGTCTAGGAGGACAAACAGGGACACACTTCCCCTGTTCCTCTCCCTGCACAGGGCAACCAAAGCAGTTCCAGTCCCATAGCCTGGCCTGAAATCAAATGGGTCCGGATGATCAGTTTCCTCCAAGAGAGCCTGCAATTGCCTGACCACCACCTGCTCGAGCACCTTGCCCAAGAATGGGATGTTAGCCACCTGTCTATAGTTGGTGGCCACCTTCTTCAGAATGGGACTGATAACCACCTCCTTCAGGGGGCAGGGACCCAATCCACCCTCACAGAAGCATTAACAACCTCCTGGACCCAGGGATACACCCCGTCCCTGTCTTTGGTGAGCAGCCATGAAGTGGGAAAGTAAACAGGTGGTGGGTCATACTTGTCCAAGCACCTTGTCCACATCCTAGGCCGCAAAAATTGAAACTCATCCAATAAGAACAGACCAGACAGTGCTCTGGGTACTTCCCGTTCTAGGACCACATCAACTGTTCATGGCGAATATGAGCAATTTTATCCCTGAAGTGCTGGGCAAGTCATCACTGCGAGCCACTTATGGTGCAATAGGATAAATTTTTGGCCAAGATTGTAGCAAGCCCTGCACCACTCAGAAAAGCTCATCTGGATGGCACTGTAAGGATGCAGTGGAAGCGGAGAAGAATTTCTTCTTTGCTGCCCTCACCTCCACAGCAAAAGCTCAATAATGAGTTCTAAGTAGTGTTTGGTCAGCTTCGGCATGGCATTTCCTCCACCTATGCATGCTCCAGTCATCTCTCAGCCTGCTTTATTCCCCACAATTCAGGCGTGTACCAGGGTACCATGCAAGCTCTGCATGGCGGGAGAGGATGCTGAGGAGCAATTGTGTCGATTGCCTGGGTCATTTCTCCATTCCACAAACCAACCAGGGCATTGACAGGCGTGCCAGTCCTATCAACTGGAAATTCCCTCAGAACCCTCAGGAATCCATCAGGATCCATAAGACTCTGAGGTGGACCATTTTAACAGGGCCCGCACCCTTATGGAGGGGGAAACTGGCCCTGAGTTTAAAGCTTATGAGGAGGTGATCTGACCAGGACAAAGGGGTTAGCATCAGATCCCTCACTTCCTGATCACCATCTTCCTGTCCTGTCAAAAAGACCAGGTCCAGAGTGCAACCTCTTAGAAACATAGAAACAGACTCAGAAGGGCCTCCCAGGCCATCCAGCTCCAGCTAGTTCTGCTCATGACATGCCTATCACATGCGTGTGCAGCCTATGCTAGAACACCCTCACCAATGGGGCTTCAACCACCTCCTGTGGAAGCCCATTCTATCCCCTTGGGGTCCTAACTGTCAGGAAGTACTTCCCAGCTCAGTCAGGGAATCTGTTGGGCAGAAGGGTGCGCAGTACACCAACAGAATCCCCAATCTATCTCGATCACACAGCGGCAGGTACAAACACTCAAGACCAGGTCTCGAAAGGACAGGAAGCCCCGTGAGGGAGACTGAATCTCTGTGAATTAGGGCCACACCCCCTCCCCTTCCCTCTAGGTGAGGTTGGTGCTGCACCTGGTACCCAGGCACAGCTGGGTGACCCCCCACCCTTCTCCCACCCAGGTCTCTGTGATACATGCCAGGTCAGCCCCCTCATCCACGATTAAATCATGGATGAGAGATATTTTATTTTGGGCTGACCTGGCATTCAACAGCAGCAGCACCAAGCCTGAGGGCCATTTGATAACACTATCGGGTACCTTCCAGCTGGGGGAAAAACCAGAAGAGGGGCCAATACTAACCATCTGTCCTCGCTTATTCTACAATGAGCTGATGAACCCCCATTGCCATACCTTCCCCTGCCCATAACTATGGGAACACCCCCCTCCCGCTCCCCAGGAACTCCCATACCAGATTAAAACACAACATAAATATAAAATATAAGATGCTGTGCAATTAAAGTGGAGCCCTAATGCCATTACGAACAGAAGGCCAGCAATGAGACATATGATTCAAGGGAGTTTCCATGAATTAGATGTGTTGAAAAAGGAACAGACCCTTCCTGGCTGAGGTTGCTGAAGGAAACAGGCAGGAGGCAGTTATGAGCGATGGGGCTCACTGCCATGAGAGATGACAGCATAACTGGACTCTGCTGCTCCCTGCCTGCTACAGTTGACATTTAAATGTGATTCAATCCAGCATAATATATCAAATAATATTTGGATAAACTAATTTATCCAATTAATGGGATGAAGAGACAAAAGTGGTTGGAGCAAAACCAAGGATTAAAAACTTTTTCAGAAGCAGAAGGATGGAGTGAGTTATTGGACTTTTCGCAGGAGCAGTGTGGGAGTGATTTGGCATTGGGTGAGATGAAGGGGGTGAGAGGTGGGAAAGACAAATCGTCTAGTGAGTATAATGCAAACGCTCTTAAAACAATTAAGGAAAGCTCTGTCAACAGCCTTGAAGACAGCTGCAGCATCAATACAAGAGGCATTGGCTGAAACGAGCACAAGAATTACACAAATAGGAAAAAACAGCAAATGAAGTTTTTGACTTGGCTCTACCAGTGGCAAGAGATGATGATATACAGAAGGAGATGAACGGATGAAGAGATATGTTGGAGGAACTAGAAAATTGTGATCACCTCTCAACATTCATCTGAGAGACTATAAGGAAGAAGGAGGCAGAAAGAATTTAAAAGAGAACGTGGTAAAATGGATTCTAGTCCTTTGTCCAGATAAAAAAAAATAACATTAGAAGATTTGAAAGGATTCACAGAGTAGGTCCTAAACAAGCATAGGACAGTTGACCAGAGAGAGATTATTGTAAGGTTTGCCTAGTACACGATGAAACTAGCAATCCACTGAGCAACATGTGAGATTTGGAGTATAAAGGTGGAAAGGTGGAAGTCTTCTGGGCAATTGAGATTACTGGAAGATGCAGACAAGAAGTTCTAAACAGAGACTCTCAGGAAACATGGAATTAAATGCATGTGGAGGCTCCCCTTAAATTATTTGGCTCAAGCAGAAAACAGTTCTTACAACCAGCATGGAGCAACTGTAGGATTTTGGCAAGGAATTGAAGACAGAGGTGCCTAAGTCTCATCTGGTGAAGACATACACAAACAAACTGAGGTGAAAAAGAAACATTGAAGACCAGTGAGCCTGATTTTCTAACTCCCTTGTTTCTTTCAAGGATGCCATCGGCCCCCCCACACTGCTGGATTGCAGCCCCATGGGAGCCTGTGGGACTCTCTGGATTCCCCCACACCATCAGGAACACCGCTGCCACTCTCCGCCTCCCCTGGCCGCTTCCCTGCCTCTTCTCCATCTGCCCCCGAGTGGTGAGAGCACTCGGGCGAGGCAGGCAAATGTGCGGCCATCCCCGCCATCTTGTGGTGCAGTGGCAATAAGGCAGAAGGGACGTGGGCCTGGGGAAAGTGCGGCCAGCCTTGGCTGGGCCCTATTTTAGGCACCTGGTGCCAGGGGTGCCCACCAAAGGGCCTTGTCCATTTGGTGGCCATTTGGTGCCATTTGGGGAAGGCTCACTGTGTTTGTGTGGGGAGGTTGTGTGTGTGTGGTGTGTACAATTTTTCTTTGTTTGCCCTCTCTTTTTCTTTCCCTTATTTTGTCCATTCACACTGGAAGTAGGCTTGTGTTGACGGTTGGCTGTGCAAGCAGCTGATGGGAAGCAGATGTTATGTTAGAAGGTAAGGTATGGCATTGTGGAAAGATACTGGATAGGATGAGACTGGAAGTTGGGTTTGTGCTGATCCACAGACAGAGTGAGAAATGTTGTGGAGTGGTTAAGTAATTGACTGAAGGCTTTTCCCCCTCCCCCCTTCCTTTCTCTGTTGTCTAGCTGGCAGTCAGTTATCTCATTCATCTCATTTAGATAGTTGTGGTTCTGCCTGTGATGACTGATGTGGGTGCTTCAACCCCAGGGATTGCGGGCAGGGGGAGGTATGGCATTGGGGGATGGACTGGCCAGCGTAGGAGACGAGGGGAGAGATGCCTTATTGCTGTCTCTCCTCTGGTCCTTCCCCAGCCTGGGACCATGCCAGCTTGCCCTTGGGCCTTGTGGTGCTGCTGCTTAATGCCAGGTTGGCTCACAATAAAACCTCACTGATTCATGATTTAATTGTGGATCATGGGGCCCACCTGGCATGCTTTACCGAGACCTGGGTGGATGAGACTGGAGGGTTTACTCCGTCTCACCATTATCCTGCAGCACCAACATCACCTTGAGGGCCAGGGAAGGGGTGTGGGCATTATTCATTGTGATTCCATCTTCCTGTTCACCTGAGTGCAGGCCTGAGGTGCCTTTCCCTTGTGCTGGGCAAGTGAGACAGATTAAGGATCCCACTGATGTACCATGCACCTGGCTGCTCAGCAGCATCCCTGCCTGTGCTGGCAGAGGTAGTCTCCAACCTGCTGTTG